ACAGTGGTGACATCACAGAGACAGCAGTGAGATCATTGGAGACATTGTTGACATCACAGGGGAAAGTGATGACACCACAGAGACACCAGTGACATCAGCAGGTACATCTGTGACATCACAGCCAACATCGATAACTTCACAAGGCAAGGGGTGACATCACAGAGACACCAGTAACATTATCGGTGACACTGGTAACATCACAGGGGACAGTGGTGACATCACAGGGACATTGGTGACAGCATTGTGGACCAGTGACGTCACAAGGGACTACTGACAACAAAGGGACAGCCGTGATGTCACAGGACTATCAGTGACATGGGGGATCAGGGGACCATGGTGACATCACAGACACACCAGTGACATCATCAGGGACATTGTGACATCACAGGGGGCAGCGGTGACATTACTGAGACAGCAGGGACATCACTGGGCACCAATGACATCAGAGTGAACACAGACGGACAGCAGTGATGCCACAGGGTGTCACATTAGTGACATGAAAGGGGTCTGGTGACATCACAGGGACATCAGTCACATCACAGGGACATGGTGACACTGCTGGGGACAGTAGTGAAATCACAAGGACAGTAGTGACATTGTTGACCAGTGACATCACAGGGGACTGTTTACAGCAAAGGGAAAGCTGTGATGTCACAGGGACATTGGTGACATCACTGGGGGTAGAGGCTGAACGCAGAGTGATATCACTGGGGACATTGGTGACATCACAGGGGACAGTGGTGACATCACACAGACATTGGTGATATCACTGGGGAGCAGTGATGTCCCAGGGGACTGGTGACAAGAAAGGGAATCCTGTGATGTCACAGGGACATCACTGCCATCAGTGACATGATAGGAACATCGGTGCCACAGCTTGACACAGTGGTGACATCACAGAGACAGCAGTGACATCAAGGGGGACATCTGTGACATCACAGGGGACATTAATGACTTCACAAGGCCGAGGTGACATCACAGAGACACCAGTGACATTACTGGTGACATTGGTGGCCTCAGAGGGGATAGTGGTGACATCACAAGGACATCAGTGACATCACTGGGGACCAGTGACCTCTAAGGGGACTTGGTGCTACCGTTGGGGACAGTGGTGACATCACAGAGACAGCAGTGGCGTCATTGGCGACCAGAAATATCACTGGGGACTGATAACAACAAAGGGACAGCTGTGATGCCACAGGTCTATCATTGACATCACAGGGGACGGGACTGAAAACACAGAGGACAGAGGTGACATCACAGGGACATCGGTTACATCATTGGGGACCAGTGACATCACAGGGCACTGGTGACAACAAAGGGACAGTTGTGATATAACATGGACATCGATGACATCCTTGGGGACATCGGTGACTTCACCAGAACAAGGGTGACATCACAGAGACACCAGTGACATCATTGGTTACACTGGTGACATCACAGGAACATCCATGACATCACTGGGGACTACTGACCTCAAAGAGGAATGGTGACAACAAAGAGACAGCTGTGATGTCACAGTGACATCGGTGACATCACATGGGGCATAGGTGACTTCGCAAGTAAAGGGGTGACCTCACAGAGACACCATTTATACCATCGGAGACATTGCTGACATCACAAGGGCCAACAGTGACATCACAGGGGACTGGTGATGACAAACAGGCAGTCATGATGTCACAGGGACATCAGTGACATCAGAGGCGACAGCGGGGGCTTCACAAGGACAGGGTTGACATCACAGAGACACCAGTGACATCACAGTGGACAGTGGTGACATCATTGAGGACAGTTGTGACATCATTGGGGACACAAGGACCACTCCTGGGAAACCATTGACATCATAGGGACATCGGTGACATCACAGGGACAGCGGTGACATCATTGGGAACAGTGGTGACATCACAGGGACAGTGATGACATCATTGGGGACAGCAATGAAATCTCAGGGACATAGGTGCCTTCCACACGACATGGGTGACACCCTGGTGACATCACAGGGGACAGTGGTTACACCCGTGGGGACAACAGTGACATCAATAAACACCAGTGACATCACAAGGACAGCAGTTATGTCACAGGGACTTTGGTGACATCATTGTAGGACATTACTGGGGACCAGTGACATAAGAGTGACAACAGAGGGACAGTAGTGATGTCACAGGGACATTGGTGACATCAAAGGGTCTGGTGACATCACAGGGACATCGGTCACATCACAGGGAAATGATGGCACTGTTGGGGACAGTGGTGAAATCACAGCGACAGCAGTGACATTATCGGGGACCAATGATATCAGAGGAGAATGTTGACCGCAAAGGGAGAGCCCTGATGTCACAGGGACATCGGTAAATTTACAAGGAGAGGGTTGATATCACAGAGACACCAGTGACATCATTGGTGACACTGGTGACATCACTGGGGACATTGGTGACTTGATAAGGATGAAGGTGACAATACATAGACAGCAGTGACATCATCGGGGACATTGGTGACACCACAGGGGACAGTGGTGACATCACACGGACATCGGTGATATCGGGGACCAGTGACAACCCAGGGGACTGGTGACAAGAAAGAGAGAGCTGCGATGTCACAGGGACATCGCCGACATCAAAGGCATCTGGTGACATCACAGGGACATCAGTGTCCCCAGCTGGGACATGGTGCCACCACTGGGGACAGTGGTGACATGACAGAGACAGAATTGACATCATTGGGGACCAGAGATGTCACAGGGGACTGCTGACAGCAAAGGGACAGCCGTGATGGCACAAAGTCATCCATGACATGAAAGGGGTCTGGTGACATCAGAGGGACATAGGGGACATCATAGGGACATGGTGGCACTGCTGGGGACAGTAGTGAAATCACAAAGACAGCAGTGACATCATTGTTGACCAGTGACATCACAGGGGACTGTTTTTAGCAAAGGCAAAGCTGTGATGTCACAGAGACTTTGGTGACATCACTGGGGGTGGAGGTGAACACAAAGAGACACCAGTGATATCATTGGGGACATTGGTGACATTACAGAGGAGAGTGGTGACATCACACAGACATGGGTGATATCACTGGGGAACAGTGATGTCCCAGGGGACTGGTGACAAGAAAGGGAATCCTGTGATGTCACAGGGACATCACTGACATCAAAGGAATCTGGTGACATCAGAGGGAAATCGATGACATCACAGGGACATAATGCCACCACTGGGGACAGTTGTGACATCACGGAGAAAGCAATGACATCACTGGTGACCATTGACATCACAGGAAATTCCTGACAACAAAGGGACAGCCTTGATGTCAGAGGGAGACCTGTGACATGACAGGGGACATTGGTGACATCACAAGACCAGGTATGACACAGAGACACAGAGACACCAGTGACATTATTGGTGAAACTGGTGGCGTGACAGGGGATAGTGGTGACATCACAGGGACATCAGTGACATCATTGGGGACCAATGACCTTACAGGGGACTGTTGACAAAAAAGGGACATCCGTGATGTCACAGGGACATCACTGGCATCAGTGACATGACGGGGACATCAGTGCCATGGCTCGGCACAGTGATGAGATCACAGAGACAGCAGTGACATCAATGTTGACATCTGTGACATCACAGGGGAAAACAATGACTTCACAAGGCCAGGAGTGACATCACAGAGACACCAGTGACATTATAGTTGTCACTGGTGACATCACAGGGGTGACATCACAGAGACACCAGTGACATTATCGTTGTCACTGGTGACATCACAGGGTACTGGTGACATCATAGGGACATCAGTGACATCATTGGGGACCAGTGACATCACATGGAACTGATGACATCACTGGGGACACAGGGACCTCCCCTGGGGCAGTAGTGACATCACAGGGCACAGTAGTGACACCTGTGGGGACAGCAGTGATATCACATGAGACCAGCGACATCACAGGGACATGGGTGACATCAAAGGGACAGTGGTGACATCATAGGAACAGTGGTGATGTCATTGGGGCCATTAGTTACATCAGAGGGGACAGTAGTGACATCACAGGAGACCACTGACATCACAGGGGTCTGGTGACATCACAGGGACATCAGTGACATTTTGGGGACAAAGGGAACACCCTCGGGGACAGTGGTGACATCACATGGGACAGTGGTAACATCTGTGGAGACAGCAGTGACATCACTGGAGAGTGCTGACATCACAGGGACAGCCGTGACATCACAGGGACATTAATGACATCTCAAATGACACTGGTGCCACCTCTGGGGACATCAGTGACATCACAGAAGACCAGTGACATCATTGAGGGTGGTGGTGACATCACAGGGATAGCAGTGACATCAAAGGAACAGTAGTGACATCACAGGGACATTAGTGACATCAAAGGACCCCGGTGCCACCTCTGGGGACAACAGTGACATCACAGAGACCAGTGACATTATTGGGGATGGCAGTGACATCACAGGGAAAGTAGTGACATCAAAGGGAGAGTGATGAGTTCACAGGGAGAGCAGTGATATCTTTGGGGACATTGGTGACATCTCATTGGACAGCAGTGACATCACTGGAGACCAGTGACATCATTGGGGACAGCGGTGACATCACAGGGAAAGCAGTGATATCATTGGGGATGTCAGTGAGATCAGAGGGACAGTGGTGACATCATTGGGGACACTGGGGACACCCCTGGGGAAACCAGTGACATCACAGGGACATCGGTGACATCACAGGGGATAGTGGTGACATCACAGGGAAACTGGGACATCACTGGGGACAGTAGTGACATCACAGAGACTGTGATGACATCAATTGGACAGCTGTGACATCATTGGGAACACCAGTGACATCCCAGGGACAGTGGTGACATCACTGGGGATGTTGGGGATGTTGGGGGCCTTTGGGAGGGCACCTGCCTGGGGGGTTTCCATGTGAGCACGGACGACTCAGCACACCAATGTGATGATCAGAGAGCGCCGTTGATTGGAATCAAGCAGCAGTCTTTGATCCAGTTTTCTAACAATACTCTTCTATCAGCTCTGTTTCTTTAACATTCTTTATGTCCTTTCCCACTCTGATAGCCGGTACTGAGACCCTGTTTTCTATATCCAGTTTTGCTACTGCTTCTCTTGGTAGATCTTTCACATCCTGGTACCATCAGAAGACCATCAGAACAACAGATCATGTTTTCAGAGTTGAAACATAAGATAATATTCTGATAGCAGTATATCCTCTAGTTAGCAATATAAGGTTATGTTCTCACAGTTGCAGCATATCCTCTATATTAGCACTAAAAATCCCTACACTTCCCCCTTTTTCTGTAAAAAAAGCAGATACAGTTTGAGCCAATAAGTTGCAAAAACACTGTACCAGACATGGCAGAAAAATACACACTCCTGGAAGCAGAAAGACAACGGGTGCCAACCATTGTACAATTGGCATAAGCTGATTCTGGGGGGGCTTTGGGAGGGCACCTGCCCTTCAACAATCAGGACTGTAGAGAACTGGGAAGCTTTACTGGGAGCACTGGGAGTAGCAGGCGGCTGGTGTGAGAACAAAAGCAGGGCCGGGGGGGGACACACAAACCCCCCAAACTCCGAGTGGGGATGGACTGGGGGGTCCTGGCTGGGCCCGAGGCAACAGGGAGGGGCTGTGGCTGCCGCCGGCTCAGGAGCTCTGTGAAGAGAGAAAAGGGTGTAACAGCAGGCGGGGGGGGCAGGGGGGGCACACAACCTCTAGGGAACGGGGGACACGACCCTGGGGACCCTCCTTTACCTTCTCCCGCAGGTAGAAGCCGAGCCCCAGCACCAGGAAGACGAAGCCCAACACGAAGCCCCCGACCCCCACCAGGATCTTGCTGTGGACGGTGTCCTGTGGCATCTCTGGGGGGAGCCGGGGGGGTCAGGACCCCCTAAACCTACCATAGATTACTCGGGACCCCCTGAAAACCTTGTCCTGGTCTCCCCCAGCCCACCCAGCATCCCCTGAAACCTCTTCTCAGTCCCTCGGGGATCCCACAAAGCCCCTCCCATCCCCTTTGAGATCCTGCAACCTCCCTCCCATCATCCCCAGGACTCTCCTGAACCCCTCCCAGTCCATTTTAAGCCCTCCCAGCACTTCCTAACTCCCTCCCAGTCATCCTAAGCCCCCAACTCCCTCCAATCCCTCCCAGGCTCCCCAAACTCCCTCCCGTCTCTCCCACGACTCCCCAAAGCCCCTCTCAGCCCTGCCAGGACACCCCAACCTCCTCCTCAGCCTCTCCATTGCCCCCCAAAGTGCCTCCCAGTGTCCCCAGTGCTTCCCTGCCCCCCCTGCCAGTGTCCCCCCATGCTGGGGGGGCCGGGCCGTACCCCAGTGCTGGCTGAGGGGGTGCTCCAGGCTGACGTGCTCCACCTGGCAGGTGTAGGTGACCCCGCGCCGGGGGGGGATTTCCAGCATCACCAGCACCTGGTAGGTCCAGTCCCCGTTGGGGACCACGTCGGTGGCCACCACGTGCTCCGGCAGCTCCTGCCCATCCTGGAACCACCTCACCTGCACCGTTGCAGGGTAGAAATCCATCACGGAGCAGAGCAGGCGGCCGGGGCCGGGCGGGGAGCTGGAGGGCATCAGCGAGATGGACACGCTGGGGGGCACTGGGAGAGATGGGGGAGACGCTGGGCTGAGCTGGGGGGCCCTGGGGAGAGAGGGTGGAGGGCTTGTAGGACATTGGTAGGGGTTTGGATGGCACTGGGAGGGACTGGGATTGCAGTGGGAGGGACTGGGATGGCAGTGGGAGGGACTGGGAATGGACTGGGGTAGAAGGGGATGGGCCGGGAGGGTCACTGGAGAGAGAGTTGGGAGATGTGGGAGTGAACTGAGAACGACTGGGAATGGACTGAGAGGGTCTGGGAGTGCAGTGAGAGGTAATGGGAATGACTGGGAGCGACTGGTAGCGACTGGGATGGACTGGAAAGGACCCGAGCGGGACTGGGAGGTGAGTCCTGAGAGGCAACTCTGCGCTGTGGATCTGCCCGGCAACTGATGAGTCATCAGAGAGACGCGCTCTGATTGGCTGAAGGGCGGAAGCTCTGTGGCAGCAGCGGCGTGGAGACGCAGAAGGGGGGGGGCACTGGGAGAGACTGGGATGGATTAGAGGACACTGGGAAAAAGTGGAACGGATCAGAATGGATTTGGGGCACTGGAAGAGACCTGGATGGACTGAGGGGCACTGGGAGAGATTGGGATGGTCTGAGAGGAACTGGGATGGGGCAAAAGGCCACTGGGATGGGAACAGGGAGGGCTGACGGGTCTGGAGTGATTCCCAGGGAGGGTTTCAGGGGCTCCAGGGTCGTTTCCGGGACAGGGGAATTCCCGAGGGCACCTGCTCTGCCCCGCGCTCACCTCTCCTCTCCACACTGAACGGGGTGAACCCCTCGTAGTTGGGCCGGCACACCGTGTCCACCAAAGCCCGCAGGTACTCCAACCTTTCCTGTATGCTGTTCCAGTACCTGGCCGCCTGGAACTCCCCATCCAGGGTGTCCCCCACATAGACCCCCACATCGCTGTCGAAGTGGGCGTACTGCTGCCGGTTGTAGATGTTCCTCACCACCACCCTCACCCGCTCGGTGCCGTTGATGAAGTGACACTCGAATTTAAACATCTCCTGGAACACCCCTGTGTGTGCAGGACACGGGTCAGGGGGTGCCTCCTGTTACCCCCCTCCAGCCCCCAGCCCCCCACAGCAGGTTGGGAGCTCAGAAGACTCCGGACCCCCCTTTCCCATCCCCCTCTGCCCCACGCCTGCCGCAGCACCGACTCTTGGCTGGGGGGGAACCCCCCCATCAGCTATCAGCTCCCCGGGGATGGACAGGGGGGTTGGGGACCCCTCAGTGCGGATCCGACCCACCCCAGAGCCCCAGGGAACCGCTGCAGGGCTCCAGTGATGAGGGACACCGAGGGACCCCCATGGCACCCCTCTTCCGGCTCTCTCACCCCCTTTTCCCCCTCTCCCACCCTCCTCCTAATCCCCAGACCCCCACCTTTCTAAGTTTGGGGCTCCCACTCTCCTCCCACTAATTCCGGGGTTCCAACCCCCACACACACTCACTTTTGTGGCTCCCATCCCCTCTTTTATCCCCCCTTTCGTCCCTTCCCGCCCCCCACGCTCACCCGAGAGCTCCTCGCCTGCAGCCGGGGGGGCTCCCAGCACCACCAGTACCACCAGTACGGCCCCAGCTCCCCACACACGCTCCATCCCCAGCGCCGGGGAGGTGTTGACACCCCAAAACCAGCCGGGCGGGGCCGTTTTGGGGTGTTTTGGACGCGCTCTGATTGGCTTAAGGTAAAGTTGGGGGCTCGTTTAGCGTCGCGTTATCCCGGCAACTGATGAGTCATCAGAAAGACGCACTCTGATTGGTCGCAGGATGGGCCAACGCTTTTTGATTGGCTGAAGGTCGTTTGAGGCGCTGCAGCCCCGGGGGTGGGGAGTTCCGAGGGATCCGTGGGGTGCGGGGGAGGTGGGAGCTCAGAGGCGCCCAAAAATGGGCATCCAGAGGTCCCGGAGCTCAGCTGAACCAAAAAACGGGGATCCAGTGTCCCGGAGCTCCGACGTGTCCCCCAAACGAGTCGATTGGCTGATCTCGGTGAAGGCTCAGTTTGAGCCGGGTCTGCCCAGCAACTGATGACGTTCAAGCAGCGCTCGCTCCCACTGGCTGCTGCTGGGGATGACTCTGCCTGCGGTTTGGGGGTTCGGGGTGGGTTTTGATTGGTCCCGGATTCCTGGAACTTGGCTTTGGGGTGACCTGGATACGTGGGAATGAGGTTCTGAGCCACCGAGGGTGCCAAATCTCCCCCTGTTCACGGGATTTGGGAGTCTGGGAGTGCCCAAACCCTCCCCCCCTCCCTCCGTGCCCAGGATTTCAGAGCTCCCCCACTCCCCACCAATAATCAGGACTGCAGAGTACTGGGAAGCTTTACTGGGAGCACTGGGAGCAGCAGGCAGCTGATGTGAGAACAAAAACAGGGCCGGGGGACACACACGACCCCCCCAAACTCCGGGTGGGGATGGACTGGGGGGTCCCGGCTGGGTCCGAGGCCACGGGGAGGGGCTGCGGCCGCCGCCGGCTCAGGAGCTCTGTGGGGAGAGAAAAGGGGGTGACACCGGGGTGGGGGGACAGGGGGGACACCGGGATAGACCCAGACATGGACTGGATCCAGCGGGACCAGAACTGGGGCAACTGGGATCATACTGGAAGCACCTGGGCCCTTGCTGGGGTCATAGTGGGATCATACTGGGAGTGACTGCAATAATACTGGGAGTGTGTGAGAGGGACTGCAGCCATACTGGGGATGAGTGGGATCAAACTGGCTTCCTACTGGAAGTGTCTGGAAGTTCCTGGGATCACACTAGTGGTGACTGGACTCATACTGGGATCATACTGGGAGGAACTGGAATCATGCAGAGGGAGAATGGCATTGTCCAGGCAGTGCCTGACAGAGCCTGGGGCCATCCTGGACTCAGACTGGGAGTCCCTGAGAGGGAAAGGAACCATCCTGGGCTGGGGTTGGGAGCAACTGGGACCACCTTGGGGGCAACTGGGATCCTATTGGGAGTGATTGGGAGTGACTGGGATCATAGTGCAAGTGATCAGCACCATACTGGGATCATAGTGGGAGTGTCTCTAAGGGACCAGGATCAAACTGGGAGTGACTGGAACTATGCAGGGAGGAGCTGAGAGCCAGTGGGGCCGTGCTGGAAGCCAACTGGGAACATACCTGGAGCAACTGGGATCATGCTGGAAGCAACTGGGAGTAACTGGGAGTGACAGGGTGCATGCTGGAGGCAACTGGCATGAACTGGGAGTGACTGGGATCACACTGATGGGAACTGGGACCATCCTGGGGCAAGTGGAAGTCACTGGGTGCAGTGGGTTTCTGTGGGTGGGTTTTGGTAATAGGGGGGCTCCTGGGGTGGCTTCTGTTGGAAGCTGCCAGAAGCTTCCCCTGCCCCGTGGAGCCAATGCCAGCTGCTCCAGGACGGACTTGCTGCTGCTGGCCAAGGCCAAGCCCATCGGGAGCAACAGGAACAGCTCTGGGATAACAGATTTAGGGACAGAAGGACTCACTGGAGAGGTCCATCCAGGACTGTCTCCCATGGGAGGGACCCCACGGGAGCAGGGAAGGATCCAACTCCTCTCCCTGAGCAGTGACAGAAACAGTAACTGACTGTAACCCCCATCCTGTCCCCCTGCACAGCTGGGGGGAGGATGGAGAGCCGAGAAGGAAGGAGGGGTGGGGGGGAAGGGTATTTTTCAGACTGTTTTATTTCTCACTCTTTGGCTTTTATCCTATTAGTAATACATTTAAAAACTGTCCCTACTTCGAGTCTGCTTTGCCATTAGGAAGCGACTTTCTCCCCACCCTTATCTCTACTCAGGAATCCTCAGCTGTTTTTTTTCTCTCCTCTGTGGAGTTGCAGAGGGAGGGGGAGGTAGCAGCTCTTAGTGGGTGTTTGAAATCCAGTCAGGGTCAACCCACTAAACCAACCCATGTGCTTGAGACCCTTTTGTGATGTCACAGCCTACCCTCTCCATTCTTGAATAGCCCTTGGCAACCAAAGAACCAACACCCCACCAGGTCAGAATGCAGCCCCACCCATGTGCCCCTTTAGGATGTCCCACCCCATCCTCTCCATTCTGGAATAGCCCCTGGAAACCAAAGAACCAACGCCCCACACCCCACAGTGCAGCCCCACCCATCTGCCATGGGACTCTTTGGGAAGTCACGGCCTTTCCCCCAGGAAAGAAAGCCTGTAGCCTTCGGGTTTCAGGTGCAGTTGGTGGGACACCCTGGGCACTCCATGGGCAGCAAGAACTTTCTGTCCTACCACCTTTTGTCTGGCAGGAATCTTGGTCCAGGTTCAAATTTGGCAGTCAGACTGACAATTCCAGTACGGGGCTCCTGCAAGCGAACGACAGCCCTCCCCTCCAGGAAAGAAACCCCTTCCCCTCGGTCTCTTTTCCTCTTCCTTCAAATACAACCTGCAGGGCAGCTTTCTGCCATCCCTTCTCTTGGGAATTGGGAAGAGAGACCCGCTCCCATGTTTAACACCTCAGACAAAACCACCCTGGTAACACCTTTCCTAACCTTCCCCATCCTTTCCCAAAGCCGAGATGTGGAAAGAACAAGTGCCCTTGTCCCTGGCTGTGCTGCTGTGCTGGGAGTCTCTTCCCTCCAGCTCTGCACACAGGCACTGCCCCTGCAGCTCCAGAGAAGGGCTGAAGAAGCATCTTCAACACAGAAATCAGGGCAGGTGTATCAGGGATTGTTGATATTTTTTGGTCTGTGCTTGGCCCAGCCACCTGCAAAAGTTTTGTTCTTTACCTGTCAAGTTCACTGATAAACGAGAGCTTCGTCCTTGGAGAGAGAGATTCTCATGTAAACTGTTTTAATTGGTGTTCTGTGATTGGCTCGTTGAAGGAGAAACTGAAAAGGAGAAGATGAAGTAAAGCCCCCAAACCCCAATAGATGAGACCCCTTGAGTGAAACAGCGCAAGTGAGAGGGGAATCCCCACGTTCTCCCGCATGGCTGAAGGGGGGCACTCACAGAACGGGGGAGGGACCGAGGGCCTCTGGCTGGGCGGTGCTGCCACACCGGCCCAGGGAGACGTCCCCGGCTAAGTGGATAAAAATGCAGGTGGTTCGTGCTCGGGGATCTCAAGTTTCACAGGAAGGACAACGTTGCCTTTTGTGGGGACGCCACTATCTTTGTGAGCCTGCTGACCCTCCAAGGATGCAGCCTCTGCTGGTGGGGAATTCTGGTTATCCTGGGGTTGGTAAGACAAAATCGTAAAACACACCTGAGTGAGTGGGGGTTTCACTGAGGGCTTAGTTCACTCCTCTCCTTTTCTGCCTCTTGGGTTCCCATTTACTTGGACACTTTTTGTAATAAATATCGAATTTATTGTTGAGATCTCAGCAGTGTCTTGGTTTTCAATCTCAGCATCCTTTTGAACTCACCCTGTTACACTATCCCACAGGTGCCATTGCTGATCACCGGGGTTTTCCTTAGATGGTGCCTTGCCATCAAAGGCAGGAGCGACTGGAGAGAGGGCAGGGAGGGGGGTCACTGTGATGGTGCCGGTGGGCCATGAGCCCGGAGCTGGCAAGGCCTGGGACCAACAGGGTGTCAGGAGAGGACTGGGAGCCCCCAGGGAGGAGGAAAACTGGCCAGGCCCCAAGGCTCCTGGGCCTCTCCCTTACCAGCCCTTTGCCCAAGGCCCCAAGGCAGAGGTGGGCTCAGCCCCTGGGCAGGAATGGGGCACAGGTTGAGCCCCAGGGACAGCAGACACAGGCGGCCTGAGTTCTTCATCCTGCAGCATCTGCCTGGGGCAGCCCAGCCAGGCCTGAGGCTCTCCAGGACAGGCCAAGCCCAGCCAGAGAGGGCTCAGCCCTCGGAGTCTGCACTCACTCCAAAGGGAATAAAACATCAGCCTAGAGGACATCCTGGCCCCAGATGGAGAACTGGAAATGTCAAGAATAAAAAAGTAACCCTACTCCATTATCCAAGGAATGTTTCCAGCTCTTCACTAAAAGCATCCAGGACTCAGTCACCCCATTTTCTCTCTGACAAGGGTTTGCAGGTGCTGCTTGGGAAAGGGAACCCCTGGGGCCCCATTGCAG